GATCGACAGAAATTTATTTTGAGATGCTCCCTTAGGTGGATGATATCTGAAATTTGATATACATATTAGAAATAAATCTACTGTGTTTCTTTCTAAGTCTATAGAAGCAAATAGGCATGCTGATAAACCAATTTCTTGATCTATATATCTGTCGGAAAATCGGCGGGAACGTGTCACAAAAGTTTTCCGACCAGCAGCGGCGGTGGAGCCTCGTTAGAAGATTTTTCACTTTCGGCGGCGGTGGCTAAAAAAAAATGTTCAGTTGATGGTGGCTAAAAGATTATTTAAAACTTTGGATCGTCAGCGGAGGGGCGCAACCAAATTTGAATACGAAACTTAGTTTAAGCCAAGATCTATTGTCGATTTCATCAAGTTTCTTATTTTATTTTCAATCAAAATAATAAGAGAAACACAAGCTGCACTGTTTTTGTGGCGGCGAAAAAAAGTTCGGCTGCGGAGCCGAAATCTAAATTATCCATCAGCGGCGGCGGAGAGGAACTTCAAAAAAGTTCGGCGGTGGCAGGACCAAAAATCTCAGTTATCCATCGCCGACGACAACAGCAGCGGCGCGGCGCACAGGTTTATATATAACATTTGTCTGACCAGGCGACAAAATCATATCATATGAGCAAGGGAGAAATTTTGAAGGCTTTACTAGACACATTTTTTGTCCAGCAACGACGTCTTTTTAGTCATATTTCTGCGTAGTTTTGAAACTGAATTCATTGCCTTACCACATAACGCCCAACAGTGTATGACGTTGATTTATTCATTTTTTCTTACGTATAAACTTCTTTGTGGAGAAAAATGTTTCTCATTTTATCTTTGTGATGTCATTCTATACTCTGTGACGTCAGAAGAAATTGTATTTACTGTTAATATATAAAGGAAATGAATATGGATAAAAATACAGTTTATCGATATTTGGAGAATAAAAGACTAAGTAGTTATCCTAATACGTATATATAGATTACACTTTTTTTCTTAACTGACTTTATCAAAGATCTTATGCAAATGATTTATTATCAATAAATATAGGATACTTGTTTCTTAGATTAACTATATAATTTAACATAATCCTTAGTAATGTATCCTCAACATCCTTCAGCACCCCCTTCGTCACAATACTCACAGCCTACTCAACAACAATTTGGATCTAATCCAATAGGCAATGCACCTCCAGCACAAAGAAGTTATCTCACATCTTCCGAAGAGCGAATGGCAAAATTTCAACAAATTGTCGGACAATATGAAATTAATCAAGATTTTGCTATGAGATTAAGAAATTTAGAAGGATTTGAAATTGTATTTATATGTGATGATAGTGGATCAATGGGTACAGCGTTAGGCAAGTTGAAATTTATTCTTGAAAACATTATTGTTTTATTTTCTAAGAATTTTTTTCATTTTTTCAAACACTCATTGTCAGTTTTTATTCAATAGTATAGTTCTTTATAGGTGAAATCACAACAGCATTCGAACGTCGATCGACTCGGTGGGATGAACTTAAGCAAACTGTTTCAATTGTTGTCGATGTATGTAATGTTCTCGATCCAGATGGAGTTGACATTTATTTTTTGAATCGTCAACCACTATTCCATGTTAAAAATTCGTCTGAATTGATTCCGGCTTTCTCAATACCACCAACGGGTGCTACACCATTAGCTCGATGTTTAAGACAAGTATTGCGTGATAAACAAGCTGAAATACAAGAACGAAAATTACTTGTGTTAATTGCGACGGACGGTGTCCCAACTGATGATGCTGGAAGAAATGATATTCGTTCATTAGAACAAGTATTAAAACATGAACGAGATCCGGTCGAGCGAGTTTTAGTTACATTTATTGCATGTACAGATGATGACGAATCTATAGGTAGATAGTTTACCTATTCGGAAATTAAATTTTATATTAATTTTCTCTCTATTTTAGGTTATTTAAATAAATGGGATGAACGCATACCAAAAGTTGATGTGTGTGATGATTATCGTAGTGAAAAACGTGAAATTCTTAAAGTACAAGGGAAAGATTTTCCATTTAGTTTTGGTGATTATGTTGTTAAAATATTAATGGGTAAGTGACTTTAAAAACTAATCTTTGACTGTTTTTTACTTGAAATAGTTCTTCTCTGACTGAATGTTTATGTTTTCCACTAATCAATGAGTATGTTGTTTGTGTTTGGTATTAAATACAATTTTATTATCATTTCTAATAAATTTCCTATTTCGTTACATGCATTATGACTCTATTCACATGTTGCCAAAACAAATAACAGTGCGATGATTTTTGTCGAGTTTTGGTTTTCTATACAAGATTTTTAGAATAAAAGACATAGGAGAACGAATCGAAGAACAGATTATAAACCATGATTATTTTAACCTTTTACAATAATTTTTTCTAGGGTCGGTGGATCCATGGTTCGATAATTTGGATAATAAAAAAGTAAGACGCCAAATCGGATCATCAACTGATCGACATACCACATCAAAGAGATCCAGTCGTTGTGTGATATTATAAACATTTGTTTTTCTTTTACTCTTTTTTTTTTACTTTCTAAGTAAATGTATGATCAAAATTTTAAATAAATATATGTTTTTTAATGTCAAAACTGCATAGTGTATTCCATTTATTTTTGTTGCCTATCATACTTTTTGATTTTCTTTGATATACGTACTGTTAAAAAATTAGATTTTATCAATAAACAAATAATCTATTTTTGTAATGGTCTTGTATTTGTGAGCTGAATTAAATATATAGATATTCATGTTTCAAAGAAAGTTACTGTCATTCTTCGTCAAATTGAATAGAACAGTATATGTATAAAACATTATTGTCATG